CCTGGAGGCTGGGGGAGCCGGGGAAAAAGTGGGTGGGATTTGGGGTTCCACTGAGATCAGGTCCTGTGGAGCCGTGGCTCCACCCCGCCCCACAGCCCCCGGGCGGCAGGGAGGGGGTGCTGTCTCTTTAAGAGCCTTCAGGCTGCTGGGAGCAGATGGCCAGGCCGGCCGGGGCCCCTTGTCCTTTGTGTGGCTTTGCACAAAAGAGGGGGCCAGCTGGGGAGGGGGCAGCGGCAGCAGGTGGGAGGGTGGGGCCTTGCCCCTCCCCCTCCTAACCCTGCACCATTGCCCCTTGGGGAGGGGGTTGCTCACTAGGAATATGCTTCCTCTCTGGATACTGTGGCCCCCACAGTTGCCCCCAAACTCCTCGGACACTCCTCCCTTGTCATGGCCCACATCCCAGACCGACGCTTCATCGCACCAGGGCCTAGAGACTGCCCCCCTGCCCCCAACTCCAAGGAATAAACCTCCCCTCCTTGCCCCTACCTCCAGAGCAGAATCCTTCTCTGGCCCCGAGCTCCAAGCTCTAGAGAGAAGTGAGAGCAGAAAGAGATTCTTACGGGAGGGGGGAGGGGAGGGGTGCCTGAGAAGGAGGGACCCCAGTGGCTGGGGGTACCTGGGGCAGCCCTAGAAGAAAGGGACCAAAATAAGCAGGATGCTGAGGCCTGGGGGTGAGGGTCTGGTCCCTCGACCGTAGGTATTAGTACAGAAAGAAGGCAAAGGTGGGGCAAAGGGGGCCTAACTGAGGCCCTGCCCAGTTGCCGGCCGGGTGTGGGCAAGATGGAAGGCTCCATCATAAGAGAGGGCTGTGCACAGGCACAGGGATTGGAGGTGCTGGGCACCGGGAGGTGGCACCTTGCCACTCAGGAGGGTCAGGCTGGGAGCCTCTTTTCATCTTGTAGCAGACCCCCTTAGGTCAGACCTGCCCTCGGTCCATTCATTCTATTCTCCTTTGTGCAGACCTCCCCACCCTGGGGCTCGGTGCCCAATCCATGATTTAAGAGGAGGAAAAAGGCTCCGTAGGTCTGGCCCGAGGTGTGGCGGGCAACGTGGCCGCCGGCTGGGTGGCCCCATGTGGCCCGACAGCGCCGCAGCCGGGCGGGGTCGTGCCTGACTTGGCCCGGCCGCCCGCAGGAGCCCCCAGGACCGGGCGGCC